GCCTCTTGAATTTTCTGAATTTCTTTCAAGATTACAGAAATCTCTTGAAGAGCTTTAATAACTTTGCTATTTAATATATCTGGCTTATTATTGACAGAAGAAGTCTCTTTCAGTATATTTACAAGAACAGTTTTTAACTCTTTATTAATAGCTTGAGCAAAAGTGACAACACTTACTTTGTAAGTATTTTTGATAACAGTATTTGTTGTATTCACTCATTTAAAGTATGCACTTTGCAACTCAAGAACCTAATTAATTATTATCTCAGGAAAGTTACAGCAATACTTCTTATCTTATAAGTAGTTTGAGCAAGTGTTGCTAGAGCCCTGGATATTATCATAAAGCTTTTCAAGATTTTTTAAAGTCATATATGCTGTAATATATTATTAACAGAAGACTGATGGCTTATCTGAAGCTTTATTTTTTGGTTTACAGTCTGGCTTGTTCTCTTTTAAGATTCCACATGTGTTCATTATTTTGACATATTTTTCTGCAAAATGCATCAGCTTTTGCTAATCTTATATATCTCAGATCATCTACCTCTGCAAATTGAAGTATATTAACAAATTCAAAAAGAAATACCAATGGAAGAGAGAAAGAGAAGATGGGGAAATAAAGATTAGAAAGACTTGAAAAGAGAGAGAGAGAGAGAGAGAGAGAAGAGAAAGAGAAGAGATTGTGGAAGAGATTATTTATATACACAAGAGCTGTTCCAATTAGATAGGGCTTTGTTGACATGTGCTCTACTAGATGTGTTGATTTTTATATTATCTACACAATTCTGATGAGCAATCCTTCAGTGAATTTTTGACAGAAATTCTTGAAAAGTTAATTTCTATTATACAGCTGCTTTGCCTGTTGAATTATTATAAGAATTATTGCAGCTTCAGTACTGCTCAGGTTTAGATTCTATATTATATATATATACATGCTAATTAATGTGCAGATATCTTAAGAGAGCTTGACATCACCAATTCAGTATTTTGCAGTTTACTCTTTCAGTAAAGCTTCACCTGAAAATCAAATCTTTATAAGAATTGCTGACTTATCAGCTTCAGAAGCTGAAGCTCTTATCTTCTTCTTGATCTTCTTTCTCTTTTTCACAAAGTCCTCTTTGTTAACATTCTCATATTGTGGATGTTATTCCATATAGTTTCAAAATTTGAGAATTTTCTATCATGCCCTGATGGCTTCCTTCTTGCAGCCTGATTTCTCCATGAGATTATCATGCAGTTTAACCTGCACCACCAAATTAGCATATATCTCTAAATCAAGATCAGTAATACTCATTATCTTATATTTGTTTTCAATTCTGACATATGCTTGATATACCATTGCTCTAATTATTTTAATTTCTCATAATCAACAATTGGCTCTGCCCAGAAGAAAATCTCAAAGAATTTTTTAGAATTAAAGTGCTTTACAAAATATATAAAGAATTTATTGGAATTCTGATAACAGTACATGCTAATATCAGAATTATTCTTGTGGTGAATCTTTTTTACATTATTAACATGCTTCTGCTAGCAGTCAGTAAAAGATCTCTTAATATTACAGAACAGCATACTAATACTTATCTTTCTTAATGTTTTATATTTCCAGCTCTTTAAAAACTTCAGAGCAGATACTCTTGCTAAACTAAAGATATATAAGTCTTCATCATTTGTTTTATATACTTTCTCTATAATTTCAGAAAGTTTTTTCTTGCTGAATATTATAAGATACATTCATCTCACTTGCTGTTTTAGAACCTTCTCTTTTAACTGATTCTCTCTCTTATATTCTTCTGTATTAGAGTGTCAAACTTTTTGCTTGTGCTTCTTGTCTCTTTTCTCATTCTCTTTATCTTTTTTGAGATTCTGATCTTGTATATCTGTCTTTTATATGTCTGCATTAGTTCCTGCAGCAGCAATGTCATTAAAGTCACCTACATTAAATTTGTTGAAAAAGAAAGCTTTATTATTCATGTTGAAGAATTTAACTCTGAAACTCTTGTAGAATTTTAAATATATTATAATCTATATTAATTGCAAGCTTTCTGACCCCAGTATAAAAGCAGTTATTCCTGACTTCATATTCTATCAGTAATTTCCCCCACATTTTCTGTTGACAGATAACAGATAATCTTCACTTTCTGAAAGAATAATCAAAAATACTTTACTTCAAGAGTATTCCACACATTTCTTTTACAACTTCATATAATTAATAATAGTCTTGTTGTTGAAATGTTGTGTCCAACTCTCTGAAAAGTCAAGAAAATCACACTCTGAGATTCAAATCCAAGCAATAATGCTTCAATTGCTGATAAATAACAGATTCAGAGTCAAGCAAGTGAAGAGAGCATTCATCAGTTAATTAAACATGAAAGCAGTGCCCATCTGACATCACTATAGTCAGAACAGCTGAAGAATTTGGCATCAATTTCTGATAATGACAAATTTGATTTTATAGTGTAAAAAATTGTTTATTGAGATTATTAAATGCTGAAACTAATATTGCATAGTCTACATTAGATACTGGTGATGGCAATGCTGGTCCAGCATATACTGACAATGATAATCAATTACATGAAATATTGAAAGATGCTGCAGCTGATGCAGAATTATCATGTCTAGAAAACAAAATTCTAGTTGAAGAAGATTCAGAAATTGATGAAAATTTAGAGTCAATGAATACTCAAGTAATAATGCTGATTCTTGAGAATAAATTATTAGAAGCTATTCTATACTTACAGGCCAAAGTATATAATCAAATAAATTAATTTCTAATATCTCTTATATTGTAGTGTGAGCATACAGGCATATTCTGACAGCAATATCAATCACTGAGAGAAATTCTCCAGAATCTGACAGATATCAAGCCATTAAAACTTATGCCTACTGGACTGTCAACATTAAAGAAGAGATACTGGTCACAATTTCTAATACTATCTATCTGTCAAAAACTACTGTCTGTCATCCTAAAGAAAATGCTAATATTATCAGATGTGAATAAAAGACTTGCTCAAGCAGTATTATGCACAAACATATATTTCCAGAATTCCATTACATTGATATCTACACTTGTGAAATTGCTGATTTTCTGGAAGAAACTGCATATAGAAATGACTGAATTGATTAATAATTCAAGAGAGTTATGGCAATCTTGAAGCTGGAGAAGCTCCATTAAATACTTCTTAAGTGAATTTACATATTACTGTAATAGCAAGCCTATATTTCTCTCTGACTTTATTCTCTACTAATACTGCAATGCTGACTGCCCCTGTAATAAAGACTCAATAAATCATAATCATTTAAGAAGAGTTTAATTTGTTGGTCAGAATAAAAGATTAAATTCAATTACTGAAAATACAATTGCTCTCTGAATTCAACCAGTATACTGATTCATGCTGACATTTTATGGTGAGAAATTATCTCATTTGAATTTACAGCACCACCCAAATAAAGTTCTTGCTCTTGAAAGCCAAGAAACATTTGTTTTGGCAGACAATATTCTTTCCTGAGTTAATGTATATCTGGACTATGAATTTAATATGGAGAATTTAGAATATAAGCTTCTGAATACCTAATATTTCATGTGGTGAGTGCTAACTTTGAAATCAGGAACACTGGAAGCTCAACCACTTAATATGAGCACTCCACTATATAGTGAGCTAGAAATAGTAGCATATGATAGAGAGGTATTGAAGCAAATATTTTCTGATAGTAAAAAGATTATATCTCTTCCCTACCAACTTTTCATTAATAGATTTGGCCTATACTGGAACATGTACTGAAGTCTTATGGATATCTACATGATACCTGCTGGCATAAAAGCTACTGAAAAAGCCAAGTGTAACAATATTTATACAATTACTTTTGAGTCACATGGAATCAATTTTTCTGATATAATTGAAGTCTTGAAGCCTGGTCTAGCATTACTTGACAAGAGCATTAATGTAAATATTTCTAGTGAGAGAGTCACTAGAGTTATTTTCTCTTGTCTCTGTTTTCTTGGGGATATGCTGCAACAGAATGCCAATACTAGAATAAAAGAGTCTACAGCAATGTGTTCTTGTTGAAGCTGCATGGTTTCAGAGAATCAGTAACATGACATGAATTTTAATACTATTGCCAAAGAATGCTATCATTTTTGGATTCTGTAGCAGAGAGAAAAAATCAACTCTACAGAAACTCAAGCTTTAAAGTAAAGCCTCTGTAAGAAATATGAAATAACTGAAGAGCAGACAGCATTACTCAAAATATACTGAAGTGGGGTATGATGGGATGCCTCATCAAAGTAGGTGAGTTGGTTAAGATGGTGAGAGTGCAAGAAGGATGAAAAATCACAATATAGTAAGGATGGTAATGGCTGAGTAGTAAGAACAGAGAAGCATGCCTTAACAGACACCTAAGCTCATAAGAAATAATAGTACTAAAGAGCCTGTACTAATACAGGCAGCTCTAATAAGAAACAGTAGCAAGCTTCATGAACAAGAGATCTTTATATTCTCTAACTAATAACCAAACTAGCAATAAAGAATGAGTGTGTGGAAAAGTACAAAGATGTGTGAAGATATTGAGTGAGATGCAGGGGCTATAGATAGTTTATATAGCTCAGAGATAGTAGCTGGAAGAGTTTTGTGTCTCAGACTGGAACAATCTTTGTTCTAATATGGTACTGGAATCCCCACTACATTTTCTTCTGGCTTTCAATGTTAGTGTCCCCTGACAACAGGCAACATATGAAACAAAACAAAGACAATTTAGTAAAGAAAATAAGAGGCTAAGAATTAGTAATAATCTGGTAAGAAAAGAGATAGAAAATAAGAATAAAGAGAGTGACAGCAGCAATCTCTAATAGTGATCATCATGATTCTCTTCTTCTACCAAGTTCTCAGGAGAAGAAGAAGGCCAAACTGATGCTGGATTAATGTTGTTGTGCATGTAATGCCAATAGAATTTGTTACTAAAAGCTTTCTTTTCAATTTAGTATATCTTGACAATAGCATTCAAAGCAATTCACATGGCCTTTAGATGCCAGTTATTAATGAAGTTCTGAGCTTTCTTCTCTTCTGGTCCAAAGAGGGTATTGAGCTTCTCAATCACTATAGAGTTGTTCCACCTAATTTAGTCTATCAAGACATCCAATATAGCTCCTAAGCCTTGCAATTGAATAGCAGTAGGGAATTGATATGGAACTGATGTGTAACAGTTTGAATGGCTAGAAGATAATGATGGTCCTGGAACTAGATCTCTATATGCAGCAGAGAGCTGTAACCAGGTACCAGCTTCATTAACTTCAAGATGTTCATGGTCCTTCTGGATTGCCATATACCAGAGTAGTATAGTATGCCAGACCTTTTTGCATGGATCATAAGCTCCATAAAGCAGCAGAGAGCTTGTAATTTGAACATCACCAGATTTGTAAATAATGTTAGTCCATCTAATACCAAATTTTCTTTTGTTGTCTTTGGTATATATTGTATTCTTAATATGGTGAACATAGTCATCAGTAAATAAGTCTTGTTCTTTGACTAGTTTCCACAAATTCTCTAGATGGTTATGCATTTCTGGCAAGATTTCTGTGCAGTTGCCAGGCTCTTCTGCTGTTAAGGTCAAGAATTCTTGTATCATGTTAATGCCTCTTCCAGTAGTAATAGCATCTGGAACATTGACATCAATATGGTGAAATCCAGTTTTATCCCCAGACTTAGCATACTTGGTGTAATATGGATAGGAGATTAATTTCCAAGCATGGTTGGGTCTTGTCAGCATGTACCATAGATAGTACACAGTGTTCTGGTGCATGAGTTGTTGGCTAATACTGTGATACATTGTTCTCAACTATCCATAATTGTCACAACCTTCCATCATTCACTAATGATAGTAGTACATATTGTATTCACCATTGATCTGAGTGAGTACTGTCATGGTGGCACCTTGTAATCTATCATTCCACCAGCATATTAGCTGGAGAATAATAACAGATCTAGTGGTCTCCCATTTCTTCTGAAGATTGCTGGTGGTGAACTTGTTAACTTCAGTAATCTGTATGTATTGATTAAAGTCAAACATTGTCATGTTTGTGACCAGAGAGATAATTGGCTGATATTTGAATTTGTAAATGCCTAAAGCATCTTCAGCTCTAGCCAGTCTATTTGCCAAACAGAACCAGAGGTAGGTGCTGTCATTGGTCTTGACTGAGCTAATGTTACTGTAAGGATTCGCCGTGAACCCCTTACATGGATGAACAGCACCTGTGAAGGCCAGAGGCCTCAGCTCACAAGCTGCTGGGAGTTGCATGTGTTCTTGTGAGGCACTAAGTCATGTGCTTGTGAGCACACATAAAAGGCTGTCACTGTGTGAACCTCTTGCTGAGAGCCAGTGGCAATCTTGTTTACAAGTTGTACATAGTTGCCAGAATACAGATCTTTTATCTTGTGTACTCTTTTCCATGTATATTTCTTCTAGAGATTCATTGTCACACTGATTCACATGTATGATCCTCACATTTTGCCACTCTTCTTTGGTGACGCCTGACAATGGTATCAACATGAAGAAGCCAACCCCCTGAAACTTGTGAACCTGGGACACCAGCTGAAAACCTACCTGAAGAACAAACCCAAGTTTGTGAAGAGACAACCAACCTTGACATCTCACCTCTCTCAACTGTTGATGAAACAAGCACTGTGAACTCAGAGAGAGAGTCTATCCTGACACCAAAAGATAAAATTCAACAGCTTTGTGAGGAGATCAAGCTACTAAAGAAAATGGTGAAATGGCAAGAGAAGTTGAATGCTCTCCAGAACACCCAAAAGCACTTGTGAAGTGAATCTCTTGATATGGCTATCTTCAACCCAACACCTGTGAAGTGTCTGTTGATCTTGAGACCACCACAACACACAAAGTGCTACCAGACTGGAACCTACACAGAATATTGCCAGTTTATCTCAGATATTGAATCCATTCACAATGCAAGCAAACTGAATGATGAGGATACCCTCATGTATGCCCTCACAGGACTTGATTATATTGAGAAAGACCTTTGAGAGGCCCACTGTGAAGGCAATCCATCAAAAAACAACTGGACTGGCCTTAAAGAATTTCTACACATAAGGCTAGGAGACCCAGCAAACTGCACACAAAACTCTTGGCAAGCAATCTTTGGCCTTTGCAAAAGTTTGGATGAAACTGATTATGCCTATTGCCAACAATTTCTAGAGCTCATAACAGAAATTGATGAAGAATTTGAAGATTCTGCAAAAATGAAGAAGAACCTGTTTATATGGGGCTTGGATAAGCTCATGCAAACCAAACTGGATGAACAGCTGGAGATACCAGATGACATTGATGATATAGTAGCACTGGCCACCTGGCTCTGACCAAGTGTGTCAGTAGCCTATGTGAAGAATGCCTCACATGCAAAGTCTACCAATCCAGTTGGAAGTGCTTGTGGAGGTATGAAGACCAATGACTCAAGACTGTAAATGAATAAGAGGAGTCAACCTCAGAGGCCTGCTCAGGAGATGGGGAAGGACCTTATCAAGAATTATGAAGCCTTGAAAAAGAATGGGAGGTGCTTTGAGTGTGGCCAAAAGAGTTATCTCATGAAAGACTGTCTCAAGAAGAAGAAGAGTAGTGAATAGGAAGTTGGGGGGCTGTAAGTAGATAGAATCAATATAATGAAGTTGTTCAAGAACAGTCTTCTTGCTCTCCTCCCTATTGTTCTAGGCGCGTGAAGCCCAACTGACAGAAGTATTACCTGGTCAGCACTAATAGATTTGGGCTGTCAATCTCTAGTGATCAGTTTGTGATTGGCCGCAAAGCTAGACCTAGAGATGCACAAGATGCCTATAGAGATTGAAACTGCTATGAATCATAAGAATGTCACTCTTGTGGAAGAGATTGTGAATATATTCTTTGAAGCCTGTAACTCTCAGGGAAACTGGCAGTTGTTCCATGAACAAGTAATGATTGTGAACATAAGAGATGAGATGCTAGTGGATTTGAGCTGGCTGCAGCAACACAATCTCAAGATGTGTTTCAAGAAACTAAGGCTAGAGTTCCAAACTGTGTGTTGTGACCTGCTCACAAAGGTTAAACCAGTTAACCTCTCAGAGCTTGTGGAAGGAGGAAAGCCCATCTATATGATGATTCTCTGTGAATCAGAACAGATGGTGACAGTAGATCTAGACCTCCAGATACTGGAAGCCTACTGTGAACTTGCGGAAGTGTTTAGTGACAAGAGAGCTTGAGAGCTGCCACCATACTGTAAAGATGATTTGGCCATAGATCTTGAATCAGAAAAGCAGCCAGGATTTGAAAGAACATACAGACTTTTGCAAGCTGAGCAAGAGACTCTTTGTGAATATCTGAGCAGTACTCTAACTCATGAGTTCATCTGGTCTTCCAAGTTATCTGCAGAAGCACCCATTCTGTTTGTGTCCAAGAAGAATGGTGGACTAAGAATGTGTGTGAACTATTGTGACCTGAATTCAAAAACAGTCAAGAATAGATATCCTCTACTACTGATTGAAGATGTGTTGTATAAGCTTGTGGGAGCTGCAATATTCACTCAGTTGGATGTCAAGAACACCTACTATAGACTGAGAATTTGTGAAGGGGATGAATGAAAGACTGCATTTTGGACTCCACAGGGGCTATTTGAGTACTTGGTAGTGCTCTTTGAACTTGTGAATGCACTGGCAGCTTTCCAATCATATATTGTGAAGGCACTTAGTGAATATCTGGATGTGTTTGTGGTGGCCTATCTTGATGATGTGGTTGTGTACTTGGCTTGTGAGGAGAATCATGAGAAGCATGTGAAATTGATACTTAAGGCACTCAAGAATGCAGGTCTTTATTGCAAGCTGGCAAAGTGCAAGTTTAATGTTTGTGAGATTGACTACCTTGGGTATGTCATAACACCAGAGGGTGTTCTTATGGAGAAGAGCTGTGTGGATACTATTCTTGACTAGCCAGAGCCAACCAGTAAGAAAGAGGTCCAGATCTTCTTAGAATTTGTGAACTTTTACAGGTGCTTCATCCCAAGATTCTCTAAGATAGCCTGTGGCCTGACTGCTCTTCTAAAGGGAGAAGAAGCAAAGCTAAGCAGACACATGTGAAGAGAGATGAGAAGAGAAGCCAACACTTTCATGACTGAGGAAGGTTGTGAAGCCTTCATAAGTCTGAAAAGAGCATTTGCAGAAGCTGTTATGCTTCACCATTTTAATATGGAACAGAAGACCAGATTGGAAACAGATGTATCTGGCTTTGTGGTGTGTGGTATTCTATTACAGCTGGTGAAGGATGGCATCTGAATTCCAGTTGGGTTTTATTTGTGGAAGATGCAACCTGTGGAGATGAACTACAGCATTCATGATCAGGAACTGCTTGTGATTGTGGAGTCATTTAGATATTGGTGCTGCTGGTTGGAAGGCTTGCAAACACCAGTTCAAGTTCTTACAGACCATGATAGCTTGTGCTACTTCCAGACTGCTCAAGACCTCTTGTGAAGACAGGTCTGCTGGGTGCAAAGGCTGACAGCCTTTTGGTTCACAGTTGACCATGTGAAAGAAACTAAGAACCTGGCAGATGGACCCTTGTGAAGATCTGACTATACCAAGAAGGCTGGTCTAGATGATAAGAAGAGTTGTGAGACTGCAAACCAACTAAGAGTAATGCTTGTGAAGAAGCAAGAGATCACAGAAAAGTTGGAACTGACAGTCCAAGTTTCTCTGAATCAGAGAGGGAAGAGAGAAGGTGAGAATGTGCAACTCATCTCTGTGAAGCTTTGAGTTGAGACCAAGAAACTACTTGTGAAGATTGTCTTGGGAGGCATGTGCAAAGTGAAGAAGATTGCAATGCAGGTCCAGAAGGTCAAAGACCTGATCTGTGAGAAGAATTCTTATGAAAAGAGCAGCTCCAATCTGTTGGCATCACTGCCAAATCTACTACAAAGTGATGACTATGCAGCTGAGGTCCGCAAAGACATTAAGGTGGGCACAAAGAAATTTGTGATGTGGAAAGAGGAGAAGGGTATCCTCTATAGAAATAGTTGTGTGTACATCTCTCAGAATGAGGCTCTGTAAATAGAGCTGATTAGGTGTCATCATAACCTACCCCTTGTGGAGTATTTTGCTACAGCAAGAATGTATGAGCTTATAGCTTGCAAATACTTTTGGTCAAGAATGAGAGAACTGGTGAAGAAGTGTTGTGAAGCCTGTGAGATCTGCCAGAACTCAAGAAGAGTTCACAGAAAGCCCCAAGAAGAACTATCACTCTTACCAATCTCAAATTACTCTTGGGAATTCATTAGCATGGATGTTATTACAGATCTTCCTGTGAGCCTGAATTTTGAGAAGATGCAGTTTGACTGTATCCTGGTTGTAGTGGACTGGTTCACAAAGATGGCTCACTTTATCCCTACAACAAAGAAGCTGACATCAGAGGAATTGGCCCATCTTTTTATTTGTGAGATAGTGAGATTGCATGGATTACCTGTGAGCATAGTAACAGATTGAGAATCTCTGTTCACAAGTGAATTTTGGGGTGATTTGACTCACATCTTGAAGATCACAAGAGCAATGAGCATGGCATTCCACCCACAAACTGATGGTCAGACTGAGAGACTGAATAGTGTGCTGGAGCAGTACCTGTGAAGCTATGTCAATTATAATCAAGATGACTGGGTGATGTGGTTGCCAATGGCTGAGTTTGTGTACAATAACTTGTGACAGGCTTCCACACAGAAATCACCTTTCCAGCTGACATATGGGTTGAATCTGTAAATGGAATTCTTGAACCCTGATGAGTATGGCTATGTGTGCAAGGATTCAAGGAATCAGACAGAGGCAATGAAATTGCTCTGTAAAGAGACCAAGAAATTGCTTGTGAAGGCACAAGCCTATCAGAAGAAGTACTATAACCAGAAGCACACTGTGAAGACCTTCCAGATGGAAGACAAGGTGTGGCTTGACCTTTGCAATATCAAGACTGCATGGCCTAACAAAAAACTGGATTTGTTGAGGCATGGGCCTTGTAGAATTGTAGAGAAGATAGGCTTGCAAGCCTACAGACTAGAACTGCCTCCAGATCTGTAAACTCATGATATCTTCCATGTATTCCTGCTCTGCAAACACAAGACCTGCAAAGAAATTGATAGCTCATCTCATCATGAAGTTTGTGAGGCAGATGAGAATAAAAAGAAGTACTGGATCTGTAAGATAATTGACTTAAAGAGAGAAGGTTGTGAGCTGTGGTACAGAGTACATTAGGAAGAATATGATGATGAGAAGAACAAGATATGAGTTCCCATGAGCAATGTCTGTCCACTGAGAAAGCTACTCCAACAATTCTATAGTAGGAACCTGGACAAGCCTGGTTTGTGAAAGAGATGAATGGAGGTAGTGGAACTAGAAAATGGGTTAGGGAGAGAAAAGGCATAGTCAAACTGAACTGAATTCAATTGATTTCAAAACAAAAGAAGAAAAAACTAAACTAAGACTATATAATTAGAGCCTCCAGCTCCTTCTGTGAAGACCTGTAACAACTACCCATAATCTCACTGCTGGAAAGAGCAAGCAAGGTGCCCATGATATAGACAGTTGTTACATTTTTGATCCAAGCCTGTAGAGATGCACTCTGTGAAGACTATATTGTTATAGCCTTGCTGAGCTCTCTTGCAGGTGGAGCACTTCTGTCCAGGTGATGGCTGGACTCCAGCCTGAGTCATGAGAATTCTCTTGTGGAGCTGAGTGTGCACAGCCAACTGGTTTGAATTATCCAAACCAGTAATAAGCATGGGTCTTTGGATAGGCTTGTAACATCATGCTCTTTTGTAGGCAGACAAAGCTTGTGCCCCTGTATGGGGGGGGAGGCCTGGAAGAACCACCAGATTGGCCCATGACACACCAGTGAAAGTAGCAGCTGGTGGTATTTGAGTGAAGGTGATCTGGAACCATCATTGTTGGTCCTGTGGGGGGGGTGCTGGATGGTCCCAAGCACTCTGTGGGACCATGGCACCCACAAACCCTGCTGGTGCAGAGGGAACAACAACAACAATCTAAAGAAGGTTAGCTGTGAACTGAAATGTGATAGAGGATACTTATATTTCTGGCTGGGGCTGGAGCAACAACTGTGGGGGGGGGAGGCAGAGTGACAGGACCCTAACTCCATCAGCATGCAAACCAATGTCAGCTTGTGAGAAGCACTTACAGCTTGAGCTGGTGCAGGGGGGGTGGTGACAACTGGTGAAGGGGGGGGAGGAGAAACAACAATGCTCTAGAACTGTCAGTCACAAACACTTCCCAAACTTCTCATAACTACTCACTGAAGGCCCAATCTCATCTGTAAAAGAGGGGGTGGGGGTCCTCTCAAGAAAGAAAAGTGGAGATGAGTTATGAGAGAGGGGAGAAGAGGACTGCACACTGGCAGCAACTGCTAGCAAGCATCAGTCTCTCTGTGAACCAAATTCCATGTGAAGACAAAACCTAATGGCCATATGAAGCAAAGGCACAACCAGGGGTGAACTCACCAGCTTGTGGTCTTTTGACCAATTGTGTGGAATGTTGAAGTGAAGCCATTTTTCTTCCAGAACATCAGAGACCTCCTGTGAGCCTGCCTCCCATGCAAAGCAGTGCTTGAAGGGTTCACTTACCTTGGTAATGATGATATAGGCTAGAGAAGAAAGAGAAGAAAAGAAGAGAAAGAGAAAGCAAGAGAAAGCTCTCTCTTAAGCTAGTGTTCATTATCTAATAGTGATACAGGGTTAGCAAGAACAATAGAGACTCTCTACACATTATTGTGTTATTGGGTTCTGTTATGTTATTAGAGTTGTGTTGATATCATATCTCTAGTGAAGCTGTACTCTTTTCCTTATGAGGAAATTTTTATTTTTCCCAAGAGGTTTTTTGTTTTTCTACTCATGAAGGTTTTTAATGAGACAGCCACCTTGAGGGATCAAGGCTTACAAGGGGGGGGAATCTGTAAGAATTTGCTGTAAATCCCTTACATGAATGAACAGCACCTGTGAAGGCCAGAGGCCTCAGCTTGCAAGCTGCTGGAAGTTGCATGTGTTCTCACAAGGCACTAAGTCATGTGCTTGCAAGCACACATAAAAGGCTGTCACTGTGCGAACCTCTTGCTGAAAGCCAGTGGCAATCTTGTTTACAAGTTGTACATAGTTGCCAGAATACAGATCTTTTACCTTGTGTACTCTTTTCCATGTATATTCCTCCTAGAGATTCATTGTCACGCTGATCCACACGTACGATCCTCACAGTTACAACAATTTCTATGGATGTGAGCCAAATGATTAAGAAGCTCCTCTCTATTAAGTGTGTGAGTCTGCAACCCAAGTTTTGAAGCTATTAGTTTTGCATAGTTATAGTATAGATAGATATCAGCTTTTTTATCACTAAGTGCCTTTTCTAATTGCTTCAGGATGTGAATAAGCTCCAATTCTGAATGTGTTTTAATACTCTTTATCTTTTGCAGGAGTTGCTGTTCAAATCTACAGCAATGGCAAGTACCAGAGTGTACTGCCATGACAGATTCTTTGTGCTCATGTTGAGGTATCTCTTCATCACTTTTAGGAGAAATAATGAACTCATCATCATTACCTAAGTCTTGGAGGGTTTGATGTGCTGACATGGCTGTAATTCTTTCACTGTGGTGCTTCAGAGCTTCTGATTGGCTGGATGAATTGGCCAGCATGCTGGTGAATCCAAATGGTGGCTGTGATTGGCCAGTTTCAAATCCATGTGATCTAATTGACATTATGCTATGTATAGAGGCTTCTGACATGTTGTGGCTATGTGGTATAGACATTTCACTCATTGAAACATCTCTTGATGATCTTGGAGACTGTAGTTCTTCCAGTAGATCTTGAGGGCTGCTTGCAGTGGGAGGGCTTCTAGTGATATCCTGAATTGAACATTGGGAGCTAGTGAAGCGGGGTACGATGGGATGCCTCGTCAAAGTAGGCAAGTTGGTTGAGATGGTGAGAGCGCAAGAAGGATGAAAAATCACAACATAGTAAGAATGGTAATGGCCGAGTAGTAAGAACAGAGAAGCATGCCTTAACAGATGCCTAAGCTCATAAGGAATAATAGTACTAAAGAGCCTGTACTAACACAGGCAGCTCTAATAAGGAACAGTGGCAAGCTTCATGAACAAGAGATCTTCATATTCTCTAACTAATAACCAAACTAGCAATAAAGAATGAGTGTATGGAAAAGTACAAAGATGTGTGAAGGTATTGAGTGAGATGCAGAGGCTATGAGTGGTTTATATAGCTCAGAGATAGTAGCTGGGGGGAGTTTTACACCTCAGACCAGAACAATCTTTGTTCTAATATGGTACTGGAATCCTCACTACATTTCCTCCTGGCTTTCACTGTTGGCATCCCCTGACAACAGGCAACATATGAAACAAAACAAAGACAATTTAGTAAAGAAAATAAGAGGCTAAGAATTAGTAACAATCTGGTAAGAAAAGAGATAGGAAATAAGAATAAAGAGAGTGACAGCAGCAATCTCTAATAGTGATCACCATGATTCTCTTCTTCCACCAAGTTCTCAGGAGGAGGGGAAGGCCAAACTGACACTGGGTCAATGTTGTTGTGCACACAATGCCAATAGAATTTGTTACCAAAAGCTTTCTTTTCAATTTGATATGTCTTGACAATGGCATCCAAAGCAATTCATGTGGCCTTTAGATACCAGTTATTAATGAAGTCCTGAGCCTTCTTCTCTTCTGGTCTAAAGAGGGTATTGAGCTCCTCAATCACCATAGAGTTGTTCCACCTAATTCAGCCTACCAAGGCATCTGATATAGCTCCTAAGCCTTGCAATTGAATCACAGTAGGGAATCAATATGGAACTGATGCATAACAGTTTGAATGGCTGGAAGGTGATGATGGCCCTGGAACTAGATCCCTATGTGCAGCAGAGAGCTGTGACCAGGTACCAGCTTTATTGACTTCAAGATGTTCATGGTCCTTCTGGATTGCCACATACCAGGGTAGTATAGTATGCTGGACCTTTTTGCATGGACCATGAGCTCCATGGGGCAGCAGAGGGCTTGTAATTTGGACATTGCCAGATTTGCAAATGATGTCAGTCCACCTAATACCAAATTTTCTTTTGTCATCTTTGGTATACATTGTATTCTTAATGTGGTGAACATAGCCATCAGTGGATAAGCCTCATTCTTCAACTAGTCCCCATCAATTCTCTAGATGGTTATGCATTCCTGGCAAGATTTCTGTGCAGTCACCAGGCTCTTCTGCTGTTAAGGTCAAGGATCCTTGTATCATGTTAACACCTCTTCCAGTAGTAATAGCATCTGGAACATTGACATTAATATGGTGAAATCCAGTTTTATTCCCTGGCTTAGCATACTTGGTGTAATATGGATAGGAGATTAATTTCCAAGTGTGGTCGGGTCTTGTCAGCACATACCATAGGTAGTACACAGGGTCCTGGTGCATGAGTTGTTGGCCAATACTGTGGTACATTGTTCTCAACCATCCATAATTGTCACAACCTCCCATCATTTGCTGATGATGGTAGTACATATTGTATTCACCATTGACCCAAGTGAGTACTGTAGTGGTGGCACCTTGTAACCTATCATTTCACCAGTGTATTAGCTGGAGAATAATGACAGATCCAGTGGTCTCCCATTTCTTCTGAAGATTGCTGGTGGTGAACTTGTTAACTTCAGTAATCCATGTGTATTGGTTAAAGTCAAACATTCTCATGTTTGCAACCAGAGGGATAATTGGCTGATGTTTGAATTTGTAAATGCCTAAAGCATCTTCAGCTCTAGCTGGTCTATTTGTCAAATGGAACCAGAGGTAGGTGCTGTCATTGATCTTAACTAAGCCAATGTTGCAACAATTCCTATGGATGTGAGCCAAATGGTTGAGAAGCTCCTCCCTATTAAGTGTGTGAGTCTGCAACCCAAGTTTTGAAGCCATTAGTTTTGCATGGTCATAGCATAGGTAGATATCAGCTTTCTTATTGCTAAATGCCTTTCCTAATTGCTCCAGAATGCAAATAAGCTTCAATTCTGAACATGTTTTAATACTCTTTATCTTTTGCAGGAGTTGCTGTTCAAATCCATGGCAACAGCAAGTACCAGAGCATACTGCCATGACAGATTCTTCATGCTTGTGTTGAGGTATCTCTTCATCACTTTCAGAAGGAATAACAGACTTGTCATCATCATCTAAGCCTTGGAGGGTTTGATGTGCCAACATGGCTGCAATTCTTTCACTGTGGTGCTTTGGAGCTTCTGATTGGCTGGATGGATTGGCCAGCGCGCTGGTGAATTCAAATGGCAGCTGTGATTGGCCAGTTTCAAATCCACACAATCTAATTGACATTGTGCTATGTATAGAGGCTCCTGACATGTTGCAGCTATGTGGCATAGACATTCCACTCATTGGAACATCTCTTGATGATCTTGGAGACTGTGGTCCTTCCAGTAGACCTCAGGGGCTGCTTGCAGTGGGAGGGCTCCTAGCAATATCCTGAATTGAATGTTGGGAGCTAGATGACTGTAGAAGAGTCAACAGCTGTAGAAGACTGTAGTTGCCAATGGTAAGGCCCTGTCAGCATAGGGCATCTCTTGAAGAAAGTTTGCATATGTGGTCAACTTCTTTGTCAGCTGTAGTATAATCACCTGGCAATATAGCTAAGCTCTGGTGATGTCCAGCCCCTGTAGCATCTAGTCTTCGGAGCACTGTGCTGTTAATATTATTGGTGAACTTATCCCAATCCTTGTAGACATTTAGAGTATGGCAAAGCTTTTGTGCTGCCCACAGGCTCTCCACTTTTGACCATATGGCATCAATCCTGTCAATACCCCATGTAGTGACAAGTCTATTCTTGATCTTTTGCATATCAATGTGATGTCATTTGACATCCAGGGTAATCTTTCAAGCATCATGGAAATCAGCTTTGAAATTAGTGTGTGTAATGTGTTGCCAAGCTCTGGATCTTTCAACATATTGATAGAAATGGGCCACTAAGTCAGTAACCACATCAGTTACTTGCATCAGTGTGTTCATTAGCTCAATCTGTAAGCCATAGCAATGGTGCGGAGCTTGGTTATTGATGTATTCCATAGCTGCTGTTAGGTTATTGAAGAAATGGCCATCCAGGTTGACTCCACTGTCTCTGGTAATGACCAGGCCTTGGTTTTCAGGTGCAGGGGCTAGAGGAGGCAAGTTGCTTTGTCCAGCCATTTTGAAGGATATCAGTGATCCAAAAAGAATTGCAAATGTCAGAATAACAAAATAGAAGGCAAGAAGAAGTGTTGAAACTGTTGAATCTGTGAAAAGAATCAAGCTTGAATGTAAAAGACAGTAGAAGCTTCAGAAAAGAAAAATCAGTCTTTAAATATCTTCTGAAAAATTCAGAAAAAGTGAAGGCTTCTGCAAATAACAAAGAAAGAGAAACTTCTCAAATAAGCAAGCAAAAACTTCACTTTTGCAAACAAAACACAACAAATTAAACATCTTGTGAAGGTATAACAACAGCAAAGCTCCAGTCATCTGGTATAACAGTTGGTAATTGTGTTTGCTCCATTTCTCCTTGGTCATTTTTATTTTTGCTCTCACTCTGACCTTGGTCATCCCCCCTATTCAAGGAGCTAACATCTGAGGAACTGCTAGAGAGAATATTAGGCTGGCTTCTTGTGGCATATTTTTGAGGAACATTCTCCATCTCTTCATCTGAATCTGCTGGACTATCACTGAGCTGCTCCATTCCAGGTCTTATAAGGTACTTCTTTAATCTGCTTCCTGCAATAGATTCTTTGATTTCAGTGCTGTCTAACTCTTCAAGGTGATAGGAACCTAGTTCTTGATTGGTGGACTTAACCCTATAGGGTCCTAGCCATCAAAAGCACAGGGTGTTGTTCCTAGACATATTCTGTTCTCCTTTGGTATTGTAAAGCAAGACAAGGTCTCCGGGTTGAAGAGGGTTGGTCTGAATATTATGGGTATCATCAAAGTATTCCTTATTCTTAGCATGCATTTGGAGCTGATGATGTGCTGCTTCCAGAATATCCTCATCTTGTTGTTTGATTTGGCGTGCACACATCAGAAGAAGGTCTTCAGTCATTCAGACATTTCACCATGGAATTGTTTGCCAAGTGAGAATCTCAAGTTCAACTGGAAGAACTGCCTCCTGGCCCATTAGCAATCTATAAGGGGAGATACCAGTACTAGCCTTAGTTGTCATTCAATCTGCCATCAGAATTGCAGGAAGATGTTTAATTCAATCCCTTCCAGTACCATTGGTGGCTTTAGCTAATCCATCAGCCAAAGGCTTATGACCAACTTCCACCATACCATTTGCAGGAGGATTATAGGGTGAAATAACAATGCATTTGATGTTGAATTTCTTCAGTAAGGTCTCCACAACATTCTTATTCTCTGGTCCTCCATCCATAACAAATTTGGCAGGCAGGCCCCATCAACAGATGATATCCTCATAAAGAAATTTGGCCACAGCTTCAGCTGTTGCCTTCTTCAATGCTCTAGCTTCCACCCATCCAGTGAAGTCACATCTTGCAACAACCAAATAATTTCATCCTCAACAGGAAGGCATGTGTTTGATATCCACCCCAACTTTCTTCCAACAGGTAGGAGCCCAGGTAGGATGAAGCTCTTCACTTAATCTTTGTGAATCTCTTTGTTAACATTGAGAACAGTGCTTCACATAAGCAGACACATCTTTATACATTCCTGACCACCAGTATTG